TTTGATGATTAGCTATAAGTTTGTGCAGTACCATGCTTCATGGTATATCATACCAAACGGAATTTTTAGTCATTCTTATGCTTGGAAGTATGACAATTTGATTTTAATCTGAAATTCAAAATAAGCATGTCATTAAATTGTTTATACTTTGTTTGCATAAGATATATATATATATTTTATCTTTCACCCCCCCCACTCCCAATCAACTCCCACCACTGAAATTGCAAAAAATAACTTTTACTATACCTGTATATTCATTTTCTGTAGGGGGGCACTGAAAATTTTTTTACCAGTTTTTCAAAAAAAAAAAAAAAAAACTCGTGCTTTACTTCCTACTTGCGACATTGCATGGAAGATAAATAAATTTTTAAAAATCTTATCTCATGTATAAATCCGTTCAGTGGTTAAATAAACACAAGTGGTTAAATAATGATTCAATTTCGCACTAACATGGGGAACAATCTTGATTTCTCCAGAAATCGATTTTATTAATACTTATTTGGGAGTTCAAAAGTACTTTTTAAATGAAACTTGAAATAGACAAATTATATTGAATTCGTTTTTCAGAATAATTATATTACTTAAATTTAAAAATGCATATAATGTTTGAAGGAACTGTTTGAATGTTTTAAATCGGTGAATTTTCCATATTATCAGAAGTGTATTTAACCAACTGCTTATTTTTCAGTACATAATCTAAGAATAAATATTTTAATCAATAATTCAAATTTTAAACACTCAAACATATTTTAATCATAAAAAGGAAAACTTTTTTTGACAAAATTTTCTAGCTGTAGCACACATATTTGAAAACAAAATGATAATTCACTTTTTTGGTGAATTATCATTTTGAGATGCAAAGTGAAAGCTATTAAAATATTTCCCAACATTCTAATGCTTAGAGCCATGGGCATAGACTGAAAGGCAATACTGATGATTCCCTGCCTGCCAACAAAACAGCACTAATCATCTCATTGATTTAAGCACATGACTTAATATGATTAATTTTCCTCCTTTCCTTAACTGTTGAGCCAAAAGTCCCCTCTGACGGAATAAAGTTATTTTTTTAGCCCATGTAAAAAGTTCAAGCATCCATAAATAGGTTAAAATAGGTCTAATATTCATCATGACATTCCAAAAGCAATAACATTCATTACACTGCTGTCCCCTAGGATAACATAATCATCCTTTGCTGAACAGACTACAGCAAAGTGGCTCATTTTGCAGATTACACACTAGTGTGCAAAACATAAGCAACAAATTCATTTTTCAACATACAACAACAAAATCACTAAAAACGGCATTTTTGTGATCAGTGCAAATGAGTGCAATAAAACACCATTTCAGTAGAAAAGTGCTGTAAATGCAAATATCAGCACCATGACGTCAGGGGACACAAAATGCCAGGAGTATATGCATACAGTGCAAGGTAACTCAGAGAGAAGAACAGAAGGTGCATTTCCAGGCAATCTGCAAGTGAAAGTGCGATTTTACATGCAATGTGACTGCAAGAAAACATCAAGATACCTTTACACATGGTAGCATGACTGAAAAGCTTGAGGAGATGCACACTTTGATGTCTTGTCCCAAGAGTTTGAAACTGCTAAAAGTGTTGTTTCACAAGCTTCGAAAGCCATCAAAATGACAGGTACAGCTGTAAGGAAGGTTGATGATCGCCAGCCACGAAAAACAATGGTGATTGATCACTGACACACCACCCTGTCAGGGGACACAAAAGGCCAGGAATACATGCATGCAGTGGAAGGCAATGTAAAAAGAATGGAAGGTGCATTTTCAGGCACCAGTGAAAGTGAAAGTGAGATTTTACATGCAGTGTGGCTATCAGGATGCTCTTGCACATTGTAGAATGATTGGCAAACTTGAGATGGTACACAATTTGACGTCTGTTCAAGCTGATAAAAGTGTTGCTTCATGGGCTTTGAATAAACCTTCCAAATGAAAGAAAGGCTGGTGGTCACAGGCCAAGGAAAACAGTCATTACTAAAGACAAAAAGAAGTCTAAACTAGAAAAGGCGCAACACTGCTCAGGAGACGAACAGGGCAACCAGACAACAATACCCTGGTTTGCTGTAGCCAGAAGACTTCATAAAGGTAGCCTATTCACCTACCATCCAGAATACTGCACTACCATTGACAGTACCTAGTGATGGCACCATTTACAGTGTTGTAAAGAACAAAAAGACTGGGCACCTCATCTATGGAATCACGTCCTCTTTATTGATGAGAATCATTTCAGTCTGATAAATGATTCCTGCCACCAGTTGATATGGTGAGAGGTGGGGACATGCTTTCATTACACAAACATCAGAGAAATAGACTAATGTGGTGGTCCTGGTGTGCTTGTATGGGGATGCATTATGAATAGATGGACGGAGTTCCACACTTTTGACACAAGTTCACTTACCGGAAATCATTACTGTGACGAGGTTAACCTCCCCCACATGCGTCTTTTCCAGAGAGCCATCAATCGCAACTTTGTTTTTATCGGTGCTAATGCACAACCATAAAGGACTCAGACTGTTGAGGTGCTTCTGGAAAGTGAAGACATGCAAAGAATGAATTGGCCACTGTGTACCACCAGTTTAAATCCCATTGAACATGTATGAGATACTTTAGGGAGACAACTAGCAGCAGGATCTTACCCTCTTAAGAGCTCCAGACAACTCAAACAGATACTCCTTTCAGAATGGGAACTCTTACCGTAAGCGCTATTAGATAATCTGGCGTTGATTATCAACAGATGGTCCAATGCAACCACTGTAGTTAAGGGAGGTCATATCCCTCAATAAGGCTTTTTATTAATTTGTTGTTCCCCCTCTTGTCCGACAGTGTTTTTTTTTTTTCTTCTGTATCAATGATATTCTGTTGATAATGTCTCTTTTTATTCATTCTGTACTATAGGCATCCTATTACTTTCTTTGCTACTATACTTTCCTCATCCTTTAAGTACCACACTGTGTCTCTATTGTATGAATTTCATGTCTTCCAGCTGGTTTTTAGTAGAGTTACAGCCAAAATCGAAAAAGTTACTTTTTGTTTTGTCCACTAATGTAGATTTGTATTTTTAAATGCAAAGTGCTGTTTTGAAAATAAAACATGCAATCATGTCTAAACACTAGTCTATTGGTCAAAATTGAAGTAAACTGATTCAGAAGATTTTATCTCTTGCATTACACTGCGTTTCTCATTTTAACAGACCCCCCAAAAGGTTTAATTTATTACTTGGGTGTACACATACACACATAAAACATATTTTATAAATTTTTATGCTGTAGAATGAAACCTGGATGCAATAAAATGACTTTTAAAAAATTGTACTCTTCAAACATCTTTAGAATATGAGAAAAAACACTTTTTGAATTTCTCAAACATAACATCGCAATAAGGAACATAATTTCACAAAATTCGACATGGATAAAGAATAATATATGAGGGCAATATAAGCAATACAACAGTGAAGTGCCTACTCATGATTGCAAATAATGCTCATGACTGTAATAATGCCCAAAACTGACATAGCAAGATGGCACCTACAATAAGGATAATAAGAGTCACAATTACCTTCAATACACATCACACAGTGAGCTGTAATACAATTAATGACACAACTGATGAGTTTCTACAGCAGCTGCACCCACTCCTAATTTACAGCAGCTGGCAGTTAGCAAATCACAGCTGCCCTTCAAAGTGCACCCCAACATGTTGAATCAATTCAGATCTACATATCTGGCAGGCTAATCCATTTGCTCAATGCACTCACTTGAAGCTATTTATCTGCACAGCCTTTTCTGGCTAAGCATTATCAACTATAAAAAGAAACTGAGAGGGAATAGAGACAATGGAAAGTCACACACTTTGCTTAAGTGACAGATACGGAGCCTGGCAAACATATGGAGTGGAGTGCAGCCATTCAAAAAGGTGCTTAGCAAGATACCTCTGCTGTTGCAAAAATCTATTTCTCTTTGTGTTGGAAGAACAGTGTTAGGTCTCAGAATTTTCCACAAGAAGGTATATCAAGAGTCTCATGAAGAAGTTGGGTCCAAGGATGATGTTCTCTGCACCATGCCAGACACACTCTCTTGTAGAAGGGACTAGATAGGATGCAAACCGTGTGTCTTCTGATAAAAAGCCCCCTCATAAAGCTTAGTACAACAGTAATCCTTGAAACAAAAGCTCCAGTAGCAGCAGAGAGCTAAATGATCACTGCTGTCTTATAGTGCCTGGCTGAAAGTTCCAAACAAAGATCTTCGTTAGGCATTGTGACTTTTTGGTAACCCTTACGCAAGATTTCTTGACATGGATTGGATCACCTAAAACTATTTCCACAACTGAAGACAACATTAGACATTACACAGAGCTCTCTTGCAACCTAGACCTGGGATTGCCATGCCTCTCATCAATGATGTGTACAAATGAAGGACACGGCAACAACCAACCTCTTTTTATACCTATTATCAACCCAATGTCAAATACATTTATGAGTACAATCACATAGGAAACATCAATGCTATCGCATTATTACTTGATCACAAATTTTCCCGTTTTGGTTGAGCATTTTCTTTTAAGAATTTCCAAAACTCATCCCTTTTCTTAATTTTGAAGACCATCGACTTTTCTGAATTATAAAGTGGCACCGTAAAGCTCAACTCTGAATATAAACAATATTCTTAAAATGAAGATGTGATTACACTGATCAATTTAGACACCATTTCCTCATTTAACACACAGATTTTATTTTTCATACATGTGAATGATAATTACTTTCCAGACATTATCTCCTGAGAGATTTTTATGATTTAAGATTTGTAAGAATAAAAAAATACCACAGCAAAATTATTTTAATACTTTGTGGTTAAAGGATTTGGTGTTAACACTGAGGAACGAATAAGATGATAGAAACTCTCTTCCTTAACAAACTTATTTAAAATTCATGAAGAATTTATATCTAAATATAGCAAAGAATTATAAAAAATGCGTACTTCCAATAACTTCATAAAAAATATCTTCTTCATCATCAGTTTCTGAATTCTCTTCTGAGTGCAGAGCTTTTAAATATGGTATCACAGTCATGTTTCTGTAGGTATCTCCATCAGATCTTGGAGGAATAGGAACACTTTCTGATAACACTGGTAGGTGCTGTTTAACCCATCTAAAACAAATATAATTTTACTAGGTAATTAATTTTTCAAGTAAATTTTATTATACAAAAATAGATACTTGTCCATATATAAGCTTTGCACAAGTATATAAGTAATATAAAACTTCAGTTCTCAAGCCTGATGCATAACATGAAAAGAACTCCTCATTAAACTCTCTCTCTCTCTAAATTGATTTAAAGACCTGCATGCAGAAAGTTCTCTTAGTACTTATTTAATTAAGAAAAATTTTTAATTTGCAACTTCATTACATATAGTCAGTCATTTAAACAGAAGTGAAAGGGAGGGAGTTAAAAAAATGGTAAAATAAATATCTTACCTATGAAACTGAACTTCCCGGAGAGACATTCTCAAATCAGGTTCTTTTTGTAACATACCTGGAAAATATATAAATTTACTCCTTCAAACTAAAATCACAAGATTTACTTAACCTTTCACATCAAACAACTTCAAAAATCTATTCTTTCCTAATTCCAGAAACACTTATATTTATGAATTTCTGTTTGATTTGAATTATCCTCGCCCCCCCCCCAAAAAAAAACAAGCAAACTGTCAGAAAGTTAACAAAGTTATTTAACTAGTATGTGCCCCCCCCCATTAGGTAGTTTGCTATATACTACTACTTTCCAGTTTCATTACTTGAACAGACTGAAATAGTAGCTGTTTACAGTAGTAAAAATCATAATGCAGAATAGCATAGAAGATGAGAAGTGCTGATCAACAGGGCAAATACTAAATGTAGAGTGAAATACACTAAGTCTGACCAGTCATGCGAATACCTGATATCAGATGTATTGGATACTTAGGTGGCTTTTGTTGCAAAACAGTTAAAATATCTAAAAATTAAAAAAAAAAAAAAAAGAATGGTAAAAATATTTACAATCTATAACAGCTGGATATAAATTTGTCTTAAACAGCATATCACTACTTTGGAAGAAAAGAGCAACAACTCGAAATTTATTAGTTTAGAGAAAAAAAACTCCAAAAAGATTTAACCAAAGTTTAAATGACTATAAAGGTTGTCAGTGCTTGGGCTAAGTTAGCTGAGCTTTGAACATCTTTCACAGGAAGTACTTACGTGCATAAAACAGAATTTCAGCTATGTGGATTATTCTTATTTCTTTTTTAGCTCAAAGTTTAAACTTCAGAATTTTTGTTTGTATTATCTTGATTGCATTCACTTGTTTTAGCTCAGATATCATTTCCACAAAGACTGCTTCAATCAGCAATAATAGAATTTATTTGAAATTCATACTATCAAAATGTCTCCACTGAAAAGATCAAGTTCTACTACTATATTATAACTAAACACTCAGATACTGAACTAAACTTGGTTCCTTGTGAGACTGTCAGACCACTTAACACATTACCAACCGGTAGCCTATTAATCGGCTTTTTATCGCCAACATCTACCGAATGATAGCCTATTAATTGGCTTTTCATCACCAACGCCTACCGACCGATCGCCTATTAATTGGCTTTATTTAGGCAACGCCTGCCGACCAATAACCTATTAATCGGTTTTTTTCTCGGGGCTACCTAAAAATAGCCTATCAATCGGTAGCCATGGTGATAAGTAATTGCCATTTGCTATATCATCTGCATTTTATTATTAGTATTGATGTACATTGCTCACTTGCATTAAGTGCGTTGCTTCGTAAACTCCCACGTTTTCATACGGTTTTTAAAAAAAAATTACTGTTCACGATGAGTGAAAAAAATGGTACTGGAGAGTTTTATTTACACAATTTATCAGATTGTCCTGACAGTTACTTAGAACATGAAGAACCTGCGGCTGAGCGGCCGGTAAAATGTTAACAACCCAACTACTAAATCAGCTGCAATTTGAAAGGTTTAAATAAATTTATTAAATCTTTAAAGTTAACAGTGGCTTACAATTCAGTTTCTGCTAACTATGTAATTTAGGCACACATAAAAGACTCAAAGTAAAATTAATGCAATTATCTCTTTAAAATTCATAAATCAGATTCCTATCAAGCTTTAGCTAAGTATTCCACAAGTGCATGCAAACTCAGCTAGCAAAAGGTTAATGAAGGTCTAAAGTGATTCTCAGACGACATGGGTTAGGAAATATTAGAAAGATCACAGTCATTGCCAAAACACCCTCTTTAACTTTCAAGAACTCTATTCTAATATATACAAGGTAACCAAAAAGTTCTTGCTGTTTCTGATATGACATTGAAAAAGTGAACCCCAACATAAAAATAGTTGCCAAACCTGGAGATGAAGTGGTTAGGATGGGAGTCCGGACACTGACCAGGAGTATAAAAACGTGTTGCATCGGTACTTCAAACATAACTCACACAGCGAATGATTGAAATGAAGTGAAAGGTGCTCATTTGGAGTTGTTTGCTGTATGATTTTAAAGTGGGCCTGTCAGCAGCAGAATCGAGTTGCCGAATTCGCCAGGCCTTTGAGGATGATGCCATTAATGAATGAACCGCTAGGCACTATTTCCAGAAGTTCAGATCAAGGGATATGTATCTTAGTGATGCACCATGCAGTGGTTGGCCATAAGTGCTGGACGATTAGGAGCCACAGAGAGTGACAGTAGGTGAGCTTGCTGTACATTTCCAAGCATCTGATGAAATGATCAGACTCCATTTACGCCACATAGGAAAGGCATGCAAGCTGAGTAAGTGGGTACCCCACACACTGTCCGATGCAAACAAGCAACAGCATATCCCTGCCTGTTTATCACTGCAATTCATCCATATTTGACCGAGTACTCACCAGTGATGAAAAGTGGGTTCAGTATGACACACCCAGGCATTCTACTCATTGTTTGTCACCACTGGACCCTATACCTCACACTGTGAGACCTCTCCACCCCCACAAGATCATGCTCTGCATCTGGTGTACTAGTTGCCAAGTGGTGCACTATGAGCTCCTGCCAGTGGGCCAAACCATCATGACAGGGCTCGGGAGGCCAGGGACACCATTCAGCGACAGGTCTGGGAGGCACTACCCCATCCACCATACTCCTCAGACCTCGCACCAACAAACTACCACCTTTTCCATTATTTGTTTTATGACGTGCTCTTTCTGACTGTCCAAAACAGCAAAAACCTTTTGGTTACCTTGTACGCTGCGAAAAAAAAAAAAAAAAAAAAAGACAGTTCTATATCACCCGTTCTACTGGGCTGATTGACAAAATTAAACTTGCGTTTTTCATGTCTTGAAAGCACGACTTAAGATATGTATTAGAATTATATATTGCATTGTTCTAATAAAGGTATTTTTACACAAAATTGGACTTTTTCTGAAATGACATGCCATTTTTTTTTTCCATATTTCGATTCTATGACTTGAATTATGCGAAACTGCCAAATTTTGCAAAAATCGCATGAGTAGTTTTTAAAAGATTAGCTCTCAAAATTCTACCTCCTCAATGTTAATTGAATTTGATATATATTTATTATTCTCTCTCTTTTTTATTTATTAAACTTATTTGATTCTTCCTTTCACATTTCGAAATTTAGGTTCATTCAAAATAAAATTCACCAATTTTTATGATATATTTTTTAAATTTGTATTTTAAAATAATTTTTATAAATTTCTTGATAAAAACTTTAAGAATTATTCAATTATGGCAAAGCGCACGAGGACTATCTGCCTTCCTGGAGGACTTTCTAAGGAAAACTGGGTCGTATACACGTTACACATGGGGGAAAACCACGGAAACGCCCATGCAGCCAGCCCGTTTGCAGGATTCGAACCTCGGACCGAACTACCAGTGTTCAGCATTTTTGCGGTTTGGACGCTGGTGGGCCGAAAAAAATTTTTAATTATAACCTACAAATTTTTACCATTATCTTAAAGTAGATGTATTTCTAAGCACACCTACAACAAATTACAGTTTTTTATTCAAAATTTTCAAAGATAAACTTGACTTTATATACTGGCTCAAAATTTGGCATATTTGTTGAAAATGATAATAACACCAAATGTGGTTTAGGCAGTTTCTTAAAATTATTTGAAGGTAGGAACGATGTTACTTTTTTTCCGCTCATGCACAATGTAAAAAGGTAGGAACGAGGTGACATTTTTCTGCTCCTGCACAATGGAAGGGAAAGGAAAATAGGTTGCCATATGTTAAAAAGTTTGCCAAGTGAATTATTCTTGGGATAAACTGGAAAAAAAACGCACGAAGATAAATATTCGAATTTCTCCATAACTTTCAGACCAAATTTTACAAAATTTAATATTTAGGCATAATTTGAGTCTTAGAGACTTAATATGGAAAAAAATTGGTATGTTATTTCAGAAAAAGTCCGACTTTATGTCAAAATACCTATGTAAGAACAATGCTATATATGAACATAATATATATCCTAACTCGTGCTTTTGAGGCATAAAAAACACAAGTTAAAAGTTTGTTAATCGGCCTATTAGAACTGTCCCCCCTTTTTTTTTCGCAGTGTACATATCTATTTGCATTCTGACAGTAGTGACAGTATGGACAAAATAATGGGTTAATTAACATAAAACCTTACAATATGAACCAGTTTTCTAGGCTTTTTCACTAATGCAGTTTATACACTGTTTATCATACATTAAGGAAAAATCACAAAAATAGCGATAACTCCCTCAAAAATAAGCCAAACTGTGTAAAATTTGAATATGTTGCCAAGTAAGAGTAGCTGAGTAAAACACCAATATGCAAATTAGTGATGCTGCACTCGGAATACATCATCTGCGAGGAGCATAAAAGTCCATGTTTGAGAGCAAGTAAACATATTTCACTGTGAGAGTGACATCAGAAATCTGAGATAGTCAATTCGTAACAATGACCTCCAGGCATCATTTGCCTGCAGACCTGCGATGGAGAGCCATTGTCAGACTAGAGGCAGAACAAAGTCAAACAGAAGTGGCCAGATGGCTAAATGTGAGCACCTCTGTGGTTCATAGACTTTGGAGGCAATTTCAAAACACAGATTCGGCATCTAGGAGGTTCAGCCAAGGACGGCCAACTGCTACGACGAGCGCCGATGACCGATATTTGACATTATGTGCACGCAAGAACAGAACCGCTACTCCGACTCTTCTTAGATCCTCCCTTGCTGCAGCCACCGGAAGGTTGAAGTCAACGTCAACTGTGCGTAGAAGGCTTCACGCAGGTGGTCTGTATGCGAGGCGACCAGCAATTTGTGTGCCGCTCACGTCACACCATAGGAGGGACCGTTTTCAGTGGGCATGAGAACATGTCCACTGGACGCCTGATCAATGTAGGGCGGTTCTCTTTACGGATGAGTCCAGGTTTAGTCTAGAAAGCGATAGTAGGCATTATTTGATATGAAGAGAACCTAGAACCTGTTATCATCCGTCAAACATCCGTGAAAAGAGATGCATACGGAAGGGGCAGTGTCTGTGTTTGGGGTGGCATCTCTTTGGGTGGACACACAGACCTCCATGTCTTTGCAAGGGGAACCGTGAATGCACAGATTTATAGAGATGACATCCTTGATGTTTATGTGCGCCCATATGCCGGGCCAATAGGTGATGCTTTCCTGTTACAGGAAGATAACGCAAGGCCACACAGGGCTAGCATCGTAGACGATTATATTCAACAGGAAACAGTTATGCACATGGAGTGGCCAGCTCGATCCACGGACTTGAATTCTATCGAGCACATTTGGGATGCTTTAGGGAGACGTCTAGCTGCTCTCAATCTGCCCTGTCAGACCCTTGTCGCACTTTCAACTGCTTTGCAAGAGCAATGGCTCTCGCCTTCTATGGAACTGATAGACTGCATAATTGAAAGCATCACACATCGCTGTATGTGCTGTATTGCTTCTAGAGGGGATCATATTCCATACTGAAGGTACTTTTCCTATAGCAAACTGACATCTTCGATTTGTTCATTTTGTACATATACTAATTTCTATACTACAATATTTGTCTGGTAATTTCTTTTTATCTTATTTGATACCTTACTATGCGTTGTATATTGTGGGTAAGTTTCATTAAATTCTACATGTAACTTTTTCAGTAATCGTGATTTTTCCTTAATTTATAACTAGTGCATTACATTTTTATCTGAAAGTAACCTTTATCTTAAATAATGTCAGAATGAAACAGTGTTGCTGGAATTCTATTTTGCATCAGAGTTGCCTGCACACCCCTAAAGAGGACTTACTCTAAAATGTATACATACGCTTGCATTCTATGTATTTACAGAGAAAAAAATTTAGCAAGTGATCCAGCATTGTCCAGAGTATACACAATTTATCTAGATAAATATGCAGCACTCACCTTGAAGGGGTAGATTTTCTGTGCAAAGATTTGAATGGCCTTTTAAATGCTTATCAAAATAAATAACTCTTTATTTATACATAAATACATTAAATACGCATATCAAAAGAAAAAACTAACCCTGGAGAAGATCTCGCAGAGACTCATCGAGTTCTTCTGGAATTGTTATCTCACATTTTCCAATATTTTCATACAATTTATAAATGCTGTCCCCTTCAAATGGATACTTTCCAGTAGTAATATTATACCTAAAATATCAAGCAATTTGAATATGATTGTGCAAAAGCTAGTAACAGTTTGTCATTAGACTGCATAATAATAAATGTTCAATTTTTACAAACTAGAAATGATAATGGCAACAAGACAAGTAATACAGAATAATAGAGTGAAACTTTGGAACTTTCTTTATAAAATAAATATTTAATAAAGGTACCTGGATTTCAAGATGCTGAATTTTGGACAAATGCCCACTTAAAGAGAGCATAAACTTCTTTTAACATTTATAATTTAGACATTTGCAAGCAACAGATGCTTATGCCTCTTTTGAATTCTTTTTAATGATCATCATGCAAGATTATTTATTCCCAATTTCAAATAATTATAAAATGATAAAACATGATTATAATGAATTACAATCTGTTTTTAAATCTCATAGACAGCACTTGTATACTGCGATGAGGGGGAAAAATCTCATTATTTAGAAATTTAACTGTGACGACACTCTGAATTAGTCACACAAAAAAATTAAGTAAAAATTTTGAAGTATGTGGCTGGTAATATGAATTTAATCAAGTTATTATTATGTAATATTAAACACTCAAAAATGTGTAACTTCTTTTATCTTAAATACACGTTTAAATGGCAAAGATAAGTTCTGGAAAAAAATTATGTAATATTTAAATACACACAGCTTCATAACTATTACCGATTTTGATACACGATATCCACACAAATTAAATTTCACAGGAAAATTTTCTACTTATGATCAATTGGCTGATATAATTACTGTCTGTTTCAAGCATAATTTGTAGAGTGCATCTCTGATGCTTTCTGTATTTCAAGTAGAGTAACTGGATTTTGTTATTTATAAATACGAGGGCCATCCAGGAAGTAGATTACGTTTCCGTCTGTGTCCGCTAGGGGCGGGGCTAGCGCGGCCATCTTGGGGTCAGAGCGTTGCGCAGCTCAGTCTGCATCTAGCCGTGCTAGTGAGAGGTTCGTGCTGTGCTCCGTTCAGATACTGTGACGGTTTGAAATGTCTGCGTTAATTGAAAATCCCGCGAGCTGCGAGGTGGCGCTCAGTAATAAGGTTTCTGACTGCAAAAAACTGTAAACCGATAGAAATCTATCGGCAGCTTCGTGAAGTGTATGGGGACAACATTATCACTGAAGGTGGAGTGCGTCAGTGGGTCATAAGATTTCAAAATGGCCGAACCAATGTTCACGACGAAGATCGAAGTGGGAGACCCAGCATAGTGACCGCCGAACTTCTCGAAAAAGTCGATGCTAAAGTCCGTGAAAATCGAAATTTCACAATAACGGAACTTTCTTTGAGTTTTCCACAAATTTCGCGAAGTTTGTTGCACGAAATCATCAGCGAAAAGCTTGGTTACCACAAGTTTTGTGCAAGATGGAAGGCAAGAAGAGGTAACGAAGTGGTTGAAGGCGCAGGCGGCCGAATTTTTCGACGAAGGAATTTCCAAGCTCGTACATCGCTACGATAAATGCCTTAATTTGTATGGTGACTATGTAGAAAAGTAGTATTTGAGTGTGGCTTTCATCTGTATATAATAAAATTTGTTTCCTATACTTTGTTTATTTTTTTATTCCAAAACGTAATCTACTTTCTGGATAGCCCTCGTACATAACACAGTGAACACAATCACATTTTCGATTAAATGTTTTTACAGAAATTTAAAATGTAAGGTAAGGTTTGAATAGTAAGGGGAAACACTCAAGAATTATTTGATTAATAAGTAAGATACTATTTCAAAAGTCATTTTTAAAAAGGCTTGGTTGTATTCATATTACACATGAGAAAAATTACAAAATTTCCAAGCAGCTACTCAATTTTATTCACTGGGAACTGAGCACTGGATGAACTATCTGCATTCAGGGATCCTATTCAGCTGGCAGCTAGAAAACACTTTTAAAAAATAAAAAGCCATTAAAATATTTATAATTAGAAATGAGTATTGATGAAAACATTTTTCCTGATATATTTTTGCATGTTTAAAGTTTCCAAACTATGTTTATGGCCACACTGCTCTCTTTTGTTCTTAATTATTTTACTGTGTGAGCAGGCTCTTTTGTTCACTTAAGAATAGACATGTTAATTACATACTTCTTCTTCATAAGCTCCACAGCCTGTTACAGGCCAAGACTGTCTCTTTAAGTTTCCTCCACTTGACCCCATTCGGCACAATAGCCTGCATGGGTTAACTCCAATTAACCTTAAATCTTGCTGGACATCATCTATCCATCTAGTGGGCGGTCTTCCTTTTCGTCTTACTCCCTCATTTCTCGAAAAAGTTATCGTTTTGGTTGTAAATGCATCATCATATCTAGATAGATGCCTTTACAATTCTCACAACATCAGTTTCACCATATTTCCAATATTTTCCATATAGTTCATGAATATAAAGAATTCTCCATAAATTACACAGTGCTTTGTGAATTTTGCAAGTAAAGATATGGAACAACTTTGCTTTGAATTCATAAAACACAATGTATATTTTACATTTTAGAATTTTTACTCTTTGGTATAGGGAGTTAAATTTTACATTTATATAGCTTCTCTAAAACCAGTGCTAAAATTGTTCCCAGAAAAATCATGAACTTATTTTGAAAATTTATTTGAAAAAAGTATGTAATCACTTTTCAAAATATATTGTATAAATATGATTCCTTATGGCCAATACTCAATAGAAGGAAATCAAAGTTCTTTTTAAAAAATTCAGAAAGGCTTATTACAATTTTTTATGTATACTAAATTGAAATAATCATTAAATTTTAGTGTGAAGGTTTGGTGCCAGGCGAACCAGCTGGCTGCATGGCTGGTTTTCATTGTTTTCCCCAATGTGAAATGTGAATACAAGCCAGTATTCCACAAACACATTTCTCATTTTTAGGCAGACGCCCACCAGCGGCCGAGCGGTAAAGTCGCTGAACACTGGTAGTTCGGTCCGAGGTTCGAATCCCGCGAACGGGCTGGCTGCATGGGTGTTTTCGTGGTTTTCCCCATGTGTAACGTGTATACGAGCCAGTTTCCCTTAGAAAGTCCTCCACGAAGGCATCCCTCCCGTTAGGCAGATAGCCCTAGTGTGCTTTGCCATAATTAAATACACACCACACCATTTTAGGCAGACAGCCCTTGTGGCTTTAACGTTTCAAATAACCTAACCTAACCTTAATCTAGGAATAAAGAATAAAAAATTTGCTAAGAAAAGCATATATGCCATAAAAGCTATTTTTCTTTTAGCCAATTGAGATTCCTGCTCCCTAGGGAATAACAGCATGACTGTTGATAATACTGGCATCATCATAACCATACTTTCAGCCCTTGAGTGGTTGTGGAGGGGAGTTAATATTTTTCTATCTGACCTAAACAATCATTGAAGTCTCGAAACATTTGTTTGAAGAGGGATGTTGATCATACTAGTTTTTATTTATTGGCATAACAGCAGGGAAGAGGGAAGGAATTAGAATCCGAAGAACTCAGATTCAGCTAACACAGAATATTATGTTCCTGTCATTTGATCAAGCTTATTTATTTTTTGTAGGCTATTATTATTGCAGATACCTTACAGCCCATGTCAAACAGTTTCTAATTTTGGAGCAAATGGTGCTACTACAGTTTGGGCTTAAGAAAGTGTGATTTCAAAATTAAGAAAAAAACTTTATTTTGGAATAGAGTTGGATGCTATAGAAGGATGGTGATTTCTCAAACATTTTTTTATCTAATTTTTCTCTACGTAAGGTTCACCCTTGAACACATTTTCTCGTAAATACATTTCACATACTTTATTCATATCACAAAAAAGTGATAACACGAAAGAGGCATGTTGATGCTCTTTCTGGGAATATTAATCTTGTAAAATTGCATGAAGGAAACAATTCCCCCCCCTTCAAACTGAAATAAAAAATCTGACTTTAATGGTGCATTCCGTCTGAACATTTACAAGCAATTAATCTATGTCAAGTGAAAAATAGAGTTGCAGATATACTAAAATATCAATAATTTTTTGAGAAATTCTGATACCTTTTCTCAGATTCACATATCAAAACAGAAAAAAAGATTGTTTGTTTTTTGTTGTTCACTGGAGTGTGTCTCACTTAACTACAGAGGATTTGCTACTAATCTGAAGGTTTTAAATGTGGCTAAAAATTATTTCATTTTGCTTTTTCATAGGCAATGCGGATGGTTCAAATAGATAAACAAATTACGTGCATTAGCAGTTTAAGATACTTAAGCATAAAAAAGACCTAATGCATTCCGAATGATAAGGCATTTAAACACATTAAACATTTAAATATATGCATTGTAGCATCTACTGCATATTCCTACAATTATTTGTCACATTTTGGAGGAAAAATAATATCCAAGTATTTTTTGCTTAGAAAATACAAAACTAGTTACAAAAAGATGGGTTTATTTAAAAGAAGTGAAGGAAATTATCTGGAAAGCATAAAAGGATATGGCTGTGAAACCTGCATGCTTAACTCATAATAACTTAATCTCTCAGTAAGCCTGCCAAAGAAGTATTCAAAGGTTACACACTAATTAAACGACTGGAGAAATCCTACAGAGGCAAAATACAAAGAGTGAGTTCGAAAATGATGTATGAACAGATCATGGAGACATGGACAGTAATTTCACAAATTATAACCAAGAACAATTTTATGAAAACCAGATTTCTAACAGTATGGATGGTTCTGACTATAATTTAATCTGTGAAGATGCAGAGGAAAGCAAGGCATTAAGCTTTTGGAATTTCCTAACATTTTGATTTAATATTACAAATGACAGAATTCATTCTCCAGCAGAAAGGTTTCTGGTTGATTTTATAGCAGTCGACCATTAATTTTTTAAAAATTTTGTCATTACCTTTTAATGTATCTACATGCAATAGAAATGGATTAACAATACATTTACTGAGACAATTTTGAAATTGCTCTAAATATGTATGCAAAAAATAATTTTGTCCTAAAATAATGACTTTTCTCCTAAACATGATATCTCCAAGAATTAATACTTCATAACATATTTGAAAAGATTTACTTACTATGATTTTTGGTTACTAAAACTAAGTAAAAACAAGTATGTGAAACATATGTCCCAAAATATGGTATTTGTTTAAATATCAAAGTTACTTAACTTGATTATGGAACACATTTTGAGATTTAACCCCTTGATGCGCACGATATTATTCTTATAATTTTTTTAACTAAAAACTTTAGAAATTGAATATTATGATCCTAGAGACAAATAATCTGTGGGTAGTGGTTGCATTGTGAAACCAGCATGCATCTAGTACTTTGAAACTTACTGAGGTAGTAGGAGGAAAAAAACTTACCTTTTTTCACGTGCATTCCAGTAAGTGATGAAATTTGCAAATTTTAAAAAAATGTATGTACGAATTGCATTATGTATAAATTTTTTACATTACTTTACAAAGTAAATCATCTGAAAAAATTTAAAAATAAACATTTATGTAATTTTTCCATAGCATTGAAAACATAAGAACCTACATAATAAGGATGTTCGGATACATGGATAAAAAAAACTCAAATCATAAAAAAAAATCATTTTTTTTTTAAGAATTTTTTGTGACAATGTTCAAAGCATGTTTTGTCTTTTTGGTACATGCATAGATCCACATTGAACGTTTCACACATGTATGAGGTTGTTTATGTTCTATGAGGTTTCTCTCTTGTGCTACAAAACATACACTACCTGGATTTGCATTTTATTGGTATATGTCCAGCGTTATTTAGTCTCATTTCGTCTGGCACATGAAATTTGTGGTTTTATTTATGTTAATGGGGAGCTTAGTCTTTTAAGCTTTGGTATGGATCTTTCATTTCCCATTTGTATTTTGTCCTCAAATATTCATAAAATATTTTGAAATTCGACTGCCTAGTGGTGAAGTGGCTAGGGCGTCACGCAGCTGCCCCACAGGTCTGGGTTTCGATCCCTGGGCTGGGCAGAGTTGACTCAGCCTTTCATCCCTTGAGTGGGTTGATAAAATGAGTACCAAGTTCACTTGGGGACTAAACACTGGGGGTCCTGCGACAAGCTAGCCACTTGCCCAGGGCATATGCTGATGCACTCCGAGGCTCAAAGGTTAAGAAAGTAGATTTCGGGGCACTGCAGGCCATGGCCCATTAGGGTTAGAGCGCGACTGAGTTTAGTTTATTTTTAATTTAAATAAAGCTTTTATGAGATTTATATTTTTAACTATAGCAAAGTATATTTACATTATATTTAAACCACACTAAATACTAAATAACTTATAAAATCACAATAACAGCATGTTGAGGTCAGAGAAAAATCTCTGGAAAAGAAAGATGTTTTCACTGGGCAGGTGCATGTACTGTTTAGTAATAAAAATAACACTGTGGTTTCAAAGCCCCTTATCTATATCCGGGTAAAAATAAACATTCCTGTTTCAAAAGCAGCAAACACCATTGTGAAGAGCAGTGGTTTCAAGACCACTGAGCCTCTAGAGGATTGTGACACAATGCTCTAGTAGCTCAGTGGTCATGCCCAGAAACCACAAAGCAAATTCCATAAATACGCATAGGGTTTTTTTTTATATATGCAGTTTAATTATTGCTATTTTTTATTGTTTATGATAAAAATAATGATGTGCAATGAATAACTTTTGCAATTTAAAGTTGTCTGTATTAATAAAAGGAGCTTATTTTGTCTCTGAAAACGAATTTTAAAGGACATCTGATTTGAAGTACTAAGATCTAAAAAATGTATGATTCTGCAGTCATTTTATGTTATTTAGAGACAAAAAAAAATCAGAAATCAATCGGTTTTCACTCAAAAGTTTCAGAAAGAAGAGAAGAAAAAAATTCGAAACTTGGTGGTTTCAGGGTGCAACAACCGCTCGCCAAGGGATGAATTATTAAATGTATACAAAATACGATGAAAATAAATTTCATACCTTTATACAGATAAAAAAACAGATTGTCATTCAGCAAAAGAAATAAAAGCAATGGTTGCTAGACAAACCCTTCAGTGAGAAATTCTGATGACTTTCTGACTGACTGTTCTTAAAAAGGAGAATATCCAGAATTTCATTCTCATCTCAAATAGTTCACATAATTTAATAGGAAAAAGACTAAAATCTATACACTGATATTTAGGATTTCATACAGTAGCCTCAAAATCCTAAACCACTACACAAAAATCATATATTAGTTAAGGATTTATTATGCCATCTTATCAGCTTGCATAGATACAAAATTGCCAATTTGATTACAAGAACAAACATACGTAAGTCTAACATAAAAAAGGAAGTTAGAAATTAGTCTTGATAGGTTATAAAACTACGCTGAACTGCTCTGAATGTACTGATCAAAAGAATTAGAAATTTTACATCACAATAAGATTACTTACAAAGTAACACCAGAAGACCATATATCTACTTTAAAACCTGAAAATATTTCTGCACCATTGGCTATCTCTGGAGGCTGAAATGCAGGTGAACCTTGGCTTGTACGGCAAATATCATCTTGCACATACATATCTAGAGCCTAAAACAATTTTCCAAAAATTTAAAATAAAAACAGATTTCCAAATTACATGAATGCAAACAAACAATAATTATCTATCAAAATAAACAGATAAATTTAAAATCCGACTCATTAAATTTAACTGAAAATTGCAACAGAGATTTGGTTTGTATGAAAATTTTTGCTGTTAAACTAGCATAACTTCTTAATATCAATCTTATTTTTTATTTTTGTTGAATTAATTGGCAATCGAGTTTTTCCTTGTTAAAGTGATTTACACTTTTTTGGTCCAGTCAGCCAACATGACCCCTTGTATCTACATGAAACCCCTTGTATTTACATGAAATGCCAAATTATTATTAAATGACACACAATTATACTTACGGTGGTTTTATGTAGGGTACCAAAAATGAAAAATTTAATAATTAGTGAGACAAATTATAATGATAGTGCACAGGTATTCAGTCAGTTACTTATTTTGATAAAGGTGGATAAAACTAGAAACAATTTTCTAATAATTCCAACTCTTCTCCTATACCCAGATTTTAGACAAAAATTTTATTTATTGGCAAATTTTTACCTGTTTTCCTGTCAACAATAAAGTTAAATTTTCTATAAATATTTTAATTCTTAAATTTGGTTTTTCCTCTTACCCTGGCCTATGTGGAAGAGTGTGCTTGTTAGTCTCGCTGGATTTCTAGAGCAGCCCCCTTGTGACCACAAAATTTTCTAACTTCACTTTTCCTTCTGGTGAGACATTTGTCCAGAAGTGGTTGTTTTTCATAACAAAGCATAGAGATCACTGCGAAAAGTCAAAATATTTTATAAACTGGATGGTGAAAAGTGCACCATAGAGAATATGTTTATGAATTTTACCAAAGTATTTCAAATGTACCAGAAAGTGTATCCTTTCAAAATGGAACGATTAGATGCAAAACTGTTTCATTATGAAAGTCTCCAGAATTGTGCGATCACCTTCTACACAGAACTCCACTTAGCCACTGAACTTTATAAATACACACCATATGGTACACTGAGGAATAAAGTAAGATTATAATGTGTTAAACTGGTCAAATACATGTCTTTTATTTAAGGCCAATAATAATTTTGTGACATAAAAGTGTAATGTATAATCATGTGTACCTGACAGTAACATACAACATAATAGTTATGTATAAAAATATAAAACATCACCATATTGATCTAATTCATTAACACAGAAAAAAAGGAACTTTATGTTAGCAAAAATTGTTCAAACTGCTTCTTCTTATATGCTCAAATTACACATGAAACATTTTTTACTTGGAACATCATAAACAAGATCAATACTGATATATTTTTACAGCATATCTCTACCCTAAGTATCATACTATTCAGTCAACTTATTGGTGAACTCATAGAAGTCTGATTTTTCAGTAAGGAGTGAAAAGATCCTCGATAACCATTATTCAAACAGATGCGACTAGAATTTATATACAACATTCACTTGTGCGCCTCATAATTTTTTGAAGATTTTCATCTGTAAAATACTGAGTGAGGTATTGCTGATAATGCAATAAACATCATCACTATAATACCATAAGCAGTATTGGAAAAATTTCAGAAATGCTAAACTTATCCTGTGATTTAACAGCAAACTTGAAGAAACTGCATAGATCCAATTGATGTAGTGTTATGTAAAGCATTTTTTTAACAATCTGCAAAACTATTTCATGAGAAGCTGTAGCAATTTGAGCATCACATCAACTACAACACTTAGAGAAGAGCCTCCTATAATACTTGATTTCATTCTGTCTGTAAGATATCATATAAGAGCTAATGAAATCTAATATTGGTTTTCATCTACGAAGGCACTACATCTAGACAATTCTTAATTAGTGAGCCACAACTGTGTCAATAAACCTGTTAAACATATATCATGAAATTTTTAATACACATTTTAAACCATTCAAAAGGAATATATAAAAGAAGCTGTACCATATGAACTACAAAAACATTAATTCACATCCTCTTGGGAATTGTTATATCAAACTGTCAATAGCTGCAGCAATGTTTAACCTCTTCACTGATAGCACATCTTATGTGATATGCTTCAGTTTCCCTTAATGGGCCCACTGTTTGAAATGTAACATAAGAGTGAAGTGTCACTACTGGCACACTGTATCATATTTGCTAAAATGGAATGTTTTATTTAATATGTCAAATATACATAAATTATGTCAGAATGATTCAAAACTTCATTGAAATCTCTGGAGTGTTAGTCTTGTTGGTATGAGTATTATTTATTATTTTATTCTGAAAATGTAAAATGTGCAATTTTTGTTCAGAATTCAGAAATGTTTCATGCAGTGAAAGTAGCTGATAATTCTGTATATAAATATGGCAACAGAATATAACAGGCACTGCTATTTAAATTCATTAGTTTTTACTTTATTACTATTAATAATTTAAATATGTGAATATAATCATTATTACTAATACTGCACATTAACTTATTTTGAATTTTTATTTTAATTGTACATATCAGAATTTTCTGTTTATCTTATAAGAAATTAAATTTAAATAATATATGCAAGAATCCAAATAAATTCAATATCCAATTTCATACATGTGTGAGTTAGTATTTTCTGCAGGGAAATTTAAAAAGTTTAAACTGAAAAATGGAATGGTCACATTGAGGTAGCTATGTATGTTAGTACTTCAATCAATGCTATATCTAATGAAATGCTGTGACACATCAGACTTAATAGATAAGGGAAGATAATAATAATAATAATTCTAATGCTAAATCCCAATGCTGTAAGGTGATAAGTGTTTAGTTAAATGTGTCATCATCAATAAAAAGAGTGGATGTCACTGTTTTAGGCTTTACTGTATTTATCTAGTCTCTCATCAAATTGTGACCATCATCTTTCTTCTACACAATAATTCATGCAGAAAACTTTCCTTTAAGCACTACATTTTGTACAAAATAAGGCAGAAATTTCCTATCCAGAATCGAGGTCGCACCAGTAATGATTCAATGCTGTTTCTATTTGTGTAGTCTTCTCTTCAAATAATGGCCATATTCATATATTCTGGCACATCTGACCAAACCGGAGTCACATCACACTACTACTCTGTAATAAAATCTAGCTGTTACAGTTCAATAAACTGATAACATGCTTTTGAAATGCCATGAAATTTCTTTTCAGATTGTTGTACTAACATAATGGCATACTAAAATCTTCCTGGAAACAAACAATTCACACTTATTACTCAACCAAAATGTACTTAGCCAACTGCAGGCTGCCTGAAATACCTTTGATGTAATCCCTTTTTCTTAGCTATTGCTTAACTAGCTTCAACATTAAACTTTTCTGTTGATACAAGTATATATCATGTTGAGCCCAGTAAAATAACAATTTAAAAAGCTCTATGATGCAAAGAATAAAACAAAACATAGGGTAACATTTCATGAAAAAAACTAGCAAAACAGTAGTTAAAGATATCCAAACTTTTATTTGTTTTTAAAGAATGCTGGTAGAATTCATGTACCAACTCTATGTATTCACATTTCTTTCATCAAAATGTTTTTTTTTTTTTTTTTTATTTTTTATTTTGGACTTTTATTTAACTCCAATTTAGTTGCACTATCTGCATATGCATTAGATACCCATTTCATATCTCCATCAAATCACTTACTTGCCATTTTCTTCTGTACATGATGCAACTATAAGTTTGAATTCTATGATTACCCCAATGACAAAATTCCCCAAACAAACAAGCAAACTCTAGAAATAATTGCTGCCATTACCATTACAAGCTGATATATCTGAAAAAGGCATGTCTGCATAACATTCATCCATAGCATAAAAATCAAAAGCTGGAGTCAATAGTCATACCAACCTAAGAATTCTTCAAGTTTTTTGGCTTTTATTAAAATGACGTAATTAAAGAATTTAAAAAAGTGTTGAACCTCATACTTCATTAACTGCATGAAAATTTTATACCCATATATTTTTACTCGCAAAAAAAAAAAAAAAAAAAAAAAAAAAAAAACCCTTAGAATTTGAAATGGGTGCATAGAATATTTATTTTTAAATTACATACATACATATTACTACTCATTTTAAAAACACAAAAAAATCTACTATGCTTATTAGCCGTGAGAAAACTGCTGCAGATTTGGATAAAAACATTTAACAATATTAAGCAATAAAGCACCGCAAACTTCTTAATATTTTTTAAGCTTCTCCTGAAAGCATCGAACTGCAGAAAAATGTATTACATAGTATGTGGGAGCACTTTGTAAGCAACAAAGTTAATTCTTCTTACAAAGAAGGTGATTTAGGTGACAATGGCAAGATTAATGTTTAGACTCGGATTAATGTTTGTCTAACTGCAGAAAAAAAATGGACTCCACAGCATGTGCAAATATATGCTGGCCCTGATACTTCATGCAACATTGTCTACAATGTTGTTGAAGCCATTCATAATTTTCTGTTCCACAACCGATTTCATGGCATCTCAGACATACTCACATTGAGATCTGGTAACTTGGGGAGCCATACCAAGGTTTTGAAATAAGATTAATGTTTCTCCAAACTTAATTCTAGTCTTGTATGGCTGCATATTGTCCAATTAAAAAGAGGCCATGAACAGATATAACTTATCAAAAGGATGCTCATATAACGTTCCCTTGTCAGACTTTAGAGAAACATTACAGATCCTGCTGTATGCCAGCTAAATAAACCCTATATCATTATAGAACCAACCATCACAGCCTGCACAGTCTTCCGCTGGATCTAGAGACTTGTGCAGTTTTCTTCATACATAAATCTTCCTATCTGTCAAAAATTACTCAAAATATGAATGCTGTTATTGTGCAACTCCTGTCATCAAATATCTAATATACGAAATGCTGGGCCTAAACAAGCTGCATAAGACTGTGTCATGCTTTATCAGGAATACTCTGGTTAGATTTCAGCTGCTAAAGGCCATATTATGAAGAGAACATGCCACATTCCTCACCTTCATATTTCCTGAGGCCTCAACATTGAATTCTGATATCACTTGAAACAGAGTAGTACTCTCCACATTAAATTATTATTGGTAGTTGATGCTAGTTATGTTGATCAAGAAGCATTATATCACCATACTGTTGTTATTCTAGTCTGTACAGTTGTGAAACTGTCAAACATGAGACAGGCTCTTCTGTACTAATTCCGGCACTTTGTAGTGTACAATCCATAAATTCTTACGGCACTGGTTCAATATATAAGCTCCTAACAACCACACTTTATAAGCTGAGCAACTTTGTGAACACTTTTTTTTTTTTGGTATACGTATTCATTCATTCTGTCACATAAAATCTCGTGAGTAAATCGTATTTTGATTCTAACATCAATGAATTATTTCTGAAGAATAATTTCTAATAAGAATGGCTGTGATGCCTTTGATGATACAGACCTTTATGACTTAGAGCTATCAGCGAAATAGCTTGACTAAAATTTTTCTTTTTCGTATGTCCTAATAATACACAAGCATTCCACATTTTGACAAACTGCATTTTTCATTCTATGCTTCATTTTATCTATTTCAATAATGTAACCAACACCTTCAGCAGTCCACCATTATATATGTTATCAGTTAACAGTCACAAAGTATTATTACTGAAAAAAGAATGAAAATTACAGCATGTGTACCAGATGCTATAAAATATTTTTAAGAAACATATACTTTAATGGCTTTATAACTATTTCTGTTTTTAAGATTTTTAAAGTTACCATGCACACTTTTCAGTTAATTTTTATTACCATATAATTCAACTTGAAATAGTCCATTAATCTGTAAATGATATGATTAAATGGAAACTTTTATATGCATTTAATCATAGTTCAGTATCACTGATAGTATCACATGAATGTTATGAATGTATTCTCTTTAAAAAAGTTTACCTAATATATATATAAATTTGGTAAAAATATAACATTTTCATTTAGTAGATTTTTATCATTAATAATTATAAAATTTCAAACATGCTAAAAATGAAGGCACATTTATTACTCTCAATTTTGACAACCAAAAGCAAACTAATAAACACTTACAGATCATATTATGTGGATAACTGATGAAATATGACACAGTTAAACATTTAAAAAAAATTACTGTTCCTTAATGGATAAAAATGTAAAAATTACTTACCTCAGCAACTCCTAAATCTGATATTTTAAGTGTTCCACAATTAGCAAGCAACAAATTTCCTGGTTTTATATCTTTATGTATTATTCCCTGACTATGTAAATATTCTAACCCATCCAATAACTGACAAAAGTACCTGAAAAAATTGCAAAACAAAAAATTTCTAGGTAAACATTTTGTTTCAGACACAGTGTTTTCTGCAGATAATGTAAAATTATCCATCATTATTATATAATAATATAATATAAATATATTTTTAAAAATATGATATGTAAATTTATAAAAAAGGCTTGAAAAGACTCACCCATGGGCCTGCCACAAAGGAAATTTTTTGTCAGGAACCGAATCCAGAAGCTCTTGCAAAACAGATACACAATATTCAAATACTAAATATAATTTCTGCTTCTCATCATTATACATGACTTCTATTAATTTAATCACATTTCGGTGATTCAGTCTTCTTAAAAGAGAAATTTCTCTGAAACAGATAAATATTTGATCTTTTAATACTGAAATGTACACAAAAGAAAATGAACATATTGGTACTTTTCCATTTCGACGGCGCAAACTTCGCCAAGCAGACTTTATTGGCGACAACATACAATATACACAAATAAAAAATGTTAACAAATGTTAGTTCTAAGAATTTCTTATTTTGAAGGCATAAACATTTTAATATCGTTTAAAATTTTGTAAAAAGCCGATAAATAAAGACAATAAATTTGTAAAAAGACGTTAATTTAAAATTTACTATGCTTTCATGGTTCAACATCCTCATTCGCCGGTTCGTATCACTTGACCCCAAGTGATCTCATCTCACATAAACTACGTTACAAAAATCTAATTCTCTCAGTAAAATATCTGCATTAATTTCAAGTTAATTCTTAATATGGAATAGACATTTAAATGCAAGAATCATTTTTATTCATACGAATAGCTTACTCAGAAATTATGTAAAATCGCAGTGCTTTACTTCGCTAGTGCATTCTCATTAGAATTGATGAATTTAACCCTTCACTTTGCCTTTTCTATATTTTCGCCTTCGGGTGAGTGGTATCATTGCATCCTAATTGACTTAATTACCGCGAATGGCCTTAGGGCATAAAATTGAACTATCTGGTAAAATTTCTATGTAATTGTATGCCAGTATTGAAAGAGAAACATTGGCATCAATTGTACCATTACTGGCGACTTTATCGCTTGCGCCGGCAAAACGTAAAAGTACCACATATTTGCTTTTACTTAAATCACATTTTCTTACATGTTAAAGAAAGCCTGAAAATAACATCTTTGTATTTATCCTTTTGAATTTTTCCCTGCCCAACAATATTCATATGTAGCTCTAAAAATGCCTGAAAAACCTAGCAATTTAAATACAGTCAAAAGTCGTTAATTCGGACACCCATAATTCGGAATGATCTATAATCCGGACCTCAAAGCTAAAAACTTTCTGCGCATGCGCCGCGTTGACACATGCGCACAGGTGTTTACGCGTGCGCGTAAGACCTCTTACGACTACGCATTTGCATGTGCGCAAGCACAGAATACGTTTCCGCGTGCGCGTTTTATGTATAACGGACGGTGTAAGCTAAAATTATCTAATTATCTATTTCAGTTAATGTTATGATTGCGTTGTTCCTTAATCTTTCGAATTGGATCCGGCGCATTATTTTTTTTTGCAGACTGTAAGAGCAATTTTATAAAAGTAAACTTGAACTTTCGATTATGTCAAATAGAATTTCCGATTTATGCTGGAACTCCCAAAGGATCTACAAAACGAAAGTATGTTTCGAATGTCCATCAAACAAAAAGTGGAATTGCTGCAAAAAATGGATAAAGACATGAAGAATATGAAGAATGTGACAGAGAGGTTAGTGAAAACGAAAAAATTTCGATTGACAAGTTAGTCGGTATTCTCGGCACAGCAATTAACGGGACTTAAACAGCGGAACTCTTGTAACTGAACAAGAAATTATGTCTGTTTATAGAATTAAAGAGAAAGTATTAGTATCACATAAAACGAAGCAACTTAAACAACTTACATTGAAAGAAATGTTTAATAAAGTAAACAAATAAATATTAAGCTTTTTTTTGTAAATTTTGATACCCTTTAGATCATAATTGTTCTTTATTTCATAAATTACGGTTTCATATTTTTAATTTTAGAATTTCTGCATGCCATCTTACGCGATTTAAACTGATGATCTATAATCCGGAAAAGCCGAAGTCCCAACGAGTCCGGATTAACGACTTTTGACTGTACCTCATTTGATACTTGCATTTTGTTGGAACAACAGCAACTGTTACACATTATGTAGTGATCTAGGAAAAACAGAAATCCCAGCCCCTCACTTTCCCATAGATGCTGACTATTTTTTCTTACTATGTACAAGCTGATTCACTCTGCACAGGTCATTTTTTTATTAGCCATTTTTGCTCAAAACTGAATAATTCTAAACAATACATATAGCATGTTTTTTAAGTTCTACATACTCTACACAAGGAAACTTTAATAGAAATTATGTAGAAAATGAATCTGCAATATGATGCTTTCTTTTGGTAAACCACAAAAATTCTATTACCAATTTAATCATTTGTATACTAGCAATGAGAAATAACTATATTTTCAAGCAATAACATACACAAATGCTTTAACGCTTAAAAATTGAGCAATTTTAAAGAAATAGGGAAAAAATTCGGCTAATCTTTACTGAACAATATCCCTTGGTTTTTTTCTCAAAAAATCACCAAGTGGTATTTGGTTGTTTATGAAAACTGGAAGCCCGTTGCACTTTTGTGTAACAGTAACCTTTCATATGGAACCAGACTTTGGGTTCTTACTATTCTTTTCAGCTGCTGTGTTTGCTTGCACGTATGTGGTATGTATTCTTTTACTGTGGGTACCATTATTTGAGTATGTCTGAGGTGAGTAAGAGGATGAATGTTGATTAACAGTGGATGAGACGAAAAATTTAATTGAATTGCTTACCTGGAGGATGGAGGAGATGGTAGTGGGAAGCCTAAACATATGCATGTGAAAAAAAGGTATGTTAAAAATTTATGTTTCATATATTTATTTGTCTCTGTGTGTTAATTTATGTTAAAAGATTTGTTGTTTAATGTTTTTATGTTAGAAAATACATATTTTTGGTTATTTATTCCTCTCTGTTTGTGTATTTTTGGTTATTTGTTCGTCTCTGTGTGTTAAGACAGTGGAGAATTTTTTCTGGTTATCATGATAGTTTTAACTTTGTTTTAGCTTCTTGATTTTGTTTAAGTGAAAATAGATCGATGTGTACATGGACAAAGTTGAGGTAGTGCGCAATGCCTACTTTGTGCAATTCTCTGATGTTTTTTAAGTGAAAATAGGTCGAAGTGTACATGGACACCGAGTTTGTGTAAGTCTTTGACTTCTTATTTTTGTTTTGTGTAGTGGCCATCTTGAAATTGCCACTGATCTTGGCGTCAAAAAAGAAATGATTCCCCAAGGGGTACCATAGAGTAAATCTTTACCAAAATTTCTGCCAAACCTTTCTAGTCCTGCAGTATAAGTGCAATTCAAAATGCCTAGACCAGAATGTGTTAAATTTAAAGGCAAATTTCATACACAATTCATATTTTAAAAAATGAAGCTAATGTATAAATAATAAAAGAAATAATAATAAAAGAAATAAATAAAAGAAAATGTTAGAAATAAGTGTTGCTAATGAAGAGAATTAATTATGTAGATAATTATATTCTATAAAAAGATATTGTTCTTAAAATACAATTAAGTCTTCCACTTAATGGAGAATTTTATAACAAAAAATTACAAGGAAAATCAGCAAAACTCCAATATCTACACATAGCTCAGTAATTAACTATTAGTAGTTCTCGTAGATTTCATTTATGCAAAAGTTTTCTGCAGAAATGTGTTAATGCTTTAAATACATTCTGCTCAGATTATTCTCCCTATGGCATATATTATTTATTAATATTTTGAATGAATATTATTAATGTTTTGAATGAAATATATATAAAAAATGATTAACACATTAAAAACAATAGTGTTGAAAAGTAGAATACTGGTACTTTTTTAGCCTACAGCAGCCTACCTCAATGAAATATTGCCTGTAAATGGGGTCAGAAGACATCTGGGATTCCTAAAAATGCATTAAATTGATGAAAATGGAACATATGATAAATTTAGTGTGTTTGATCATAATTTTAATGACTGACTGAACACAAATGATGAGAATGATAAATACATTACACAGTCCATAATCTAGACATCTATTATCCAGAATGATCTATAATCCGGACCTCAAAGCCATAAACTTTTTTTTTTTTTTTTGTATGCTTTACACATGTGCGTTTAATGTAAAATTGACGATGAAGACGATAGCCACGAATTTGAAGGTTTTCGGACATTGCAAACTAAAGGTGAAATTTTCTAGTTATTGGATTTTGTAAAGAAATGTGGAGAAGCGGTAATAAATAAAGATGATATAACAGAAGTTTTTCATTGCGACGACAATGCCCCAATCATCCATCAATTAATGGATGGTGAAATTTGTAGTATGATTCCAGATCCAGAAAATACCACTTCCAATAGTGAAGAAAGTGACAGAAAGGTTATTGAATACGAAAAAATTTTGATTGACAAGGTAGTCGGCATTCTCGATACAGCAATTACAGAACTCGAACAGTGGAACTTTGTAACTGAACAAGAAATTATATCTGTTTATAGAATTAAAGAGAAAGTATTAGCACAAAAAACGAAGCAACTTACATTGAAAGAAATGTTTAATAAAGTAAACAAATAAATATTAAGCTTTTTTTTTTTGTAAATTTTGATATCCTTTAGATCATAATTGCTCTTTATTTTATAAATTATGGTTTCACATTTTTAATTGTATAATTTCTGCATGCCATCTTACCAGATTTAAATGTATGATCTATAACACGGAAAAACCCTTAATCCGGAATCGCCGAAGTCCCGACGAGTCCGGATTACAGTCTTGTACTGTATAACTTATATTAACACACTGTCAGTGCAAGATAACAGTTTCCATGACAATCAGAAGATTTTTCAAGGTTAATCCAATCGAGCACCTCACTTAAGCTCCTGGTTGATCTTTACAATATGGTAACTGGTAGTTTGGCGACATTTTGGAGGCGATAAAGGTTACTACCTGGGACTTTGGTAATAATGTGAGCAGTACTCAGCTCCGATTACGCATTATTTTGTGTGGGGGAAATGAGAGATCATGGGATATGTCATGTGATATTAATGGACGAATTACGGTTCTTTAATCGGAAAAGGGGGGAATTTGGACAAGTATCTGTGGATGTATATTATTTTGTATTAAGCTTCATTGTGTGTTGTGTGAAGTAGGGTTGAATAATTTTGGGATTGTATGGCGCTGTCTAAAGTGAATTGTAGATGTGATAAAGAGAATTTTTTTTTTATCAAATTCGGAAAAAAAATCGTTCAGTAATTTTATTGAATCCATAATAAAAGTGTATCCACCATGTAAGGAAGATTCGGAAGAAGATTAGGTTAGTTAGACTTTGTTAAGAATGTGAGTAGTATTCAGTTTCTGATTACGCATTATTTGTGTGAGGGAATGAGAGATCATGGGATATGTTATGTGATATTAATGGACGAATTACTGTTCTTTAATCGGGAAAAAATCTGGCAATTTTGTATTTGGCTTTATTCTGTGTTGTGTGAAACAGTGTTTGTGAATTTTTGGATCCCATGGCCGTAACTAAAGTGAATTCGAAATAGGTATTTAATGGTATTGAAAAGGATAGTAATAAATGTTTTTTAAGGTTGTGCGAGAGAGAAATAAAGATGTTTTATTATGTTATTTATTTTACCTGGTATCTTGCTTTGAAAGATAAGTATGATTTTAAAGATTCTGAAACAGAAGTAAGAAAAGTGTATCCGCCATGTAATCAAGATTCTGAAGAAGATTAGGTAAGTTAGTATTTTTAATTATTTGAGGATATTATTTTTATGCATTGTTGTAAATGTAAGGTGGAAAGGAATTTGGTATTATTGGGAAAATTGTTATTAGCAATGATTTAGTTTAAAGTAATTAGGATTGTAAGGTAATTTTTATTACTTTAATGTATGTGCTCATTTATATTTTAAGTAGTGTTTTTGAATTTAATTATATTTTAATGAAATGATAGTTATTTTGTGAATTTTATGTTTGTAGGAATTTGGTATACGTTTAAGTTGAAATAAACATGCATGGAAATAATTTAAATATTTGATATTAAGTATTTGTAATGCTTGAGGTATGAATTCGTTGGTGACGTGTATAATGTAATAGATGATTTAGAGGTAAAAGTTTTTGGATATTCTATTTATTTTATATGTGGAAGTGTTGATATTTGTAAAGGGTAAATACTTTTTCGCGATCATGTAATTTCATATATGTTCTTTTTACCGGGTTTAAAGATTGAGAAAATTGTCATGTATTTTCGTGAAATTTTTTTAATTTATGAGAAAAAAGCAGTGTACATGGATATAGTGAAGAGTGTGCGCAATGCCATTTTTGTGCAATTCTGGGATGTTTTTTTAAGTAAAAATAAGTCGACGTGTACATGGTTTAGTGATATTTTAATGAAATGATAGTTATTTTGTGAATTTTATGCTTGTAGAAATTTGGTATACGTTTAAGTTGAAATAAACGTGCATGGAAATAATTTAAATATTTGATACTAAGTATTTGTAATGCTTGCGGTATGAATTCGTTGGTGACGTGTATAATGTAATAGATGATTTAGAGGTAAAAGTTTTTGGATATTTTATTTATTTTATATGTGGAAATGTTCATATTTGTAAAGGGTAAATACTTTTTCGCGATCAGGTAATTTCATATATGTTCTTTTTACCGGGTTTTTAAAGATTGAGAAAATTGTCATGTATTTTCGTGAAATTTTTGTAATTTATGAGAAAAAAGCAGTGTACATGGATATAATGAAGAGTGTGCGCAATGCCATTTTTGTGCAATTCTGGGATGTTTTTTAAGTAAAAGTAAGTCGGCGTGTACATGGTTTATGTGTATGTGTTATTTTGAAAAATGCGTAAGGAGAATGGTATTGTGCAGTTTTTCCAAATTTTGCAGTGAATATTTGTCATGATTAAGCAGTTTTGTTTGATAAAATTTCTAGCATAAGTGTAATTCGGCTAGTAGATTGTTGGAAGAAGTGTTCAGGAGATAAAAAGAAAAGAAACATGTCTTTACTTCGTGAAGACAAAATGGCGGCGGGGAAAAAAAAATAGAGGGTTGCTGTAGGAGAGTTGGTCGCCAAATTTTCGCCAAAAAATCGCCAAGTTACCATAATGTAAAGATCAACCAAGCTCCCTTCAGTAAAAACACTGCTGCCTTAAATGCACGAAATCAATAACTGGCTCAGTTCAGTTATTTAGAGATGAATATAATTTTCTGCTCTTCCACCTTACCTATATAATCTTAGTAAATACAGCACAAAGTTTGTCTGCCTAATATAAGACATGTATTACATGGATTTATGCAAACTAAAAGTCAAGTGAATTTGATTGTAGACTGACAACTTGAGACCACAAGTTTACAAATCTTCAATATGAATAAAGGATATCAAATTGAATTAAATAGAACCACATCAACAGTTCTTACTTTCTTTAGCATTTACAGATAAAGGCTAAAAATTATTTAACAAATCTGGCATTATTCAATTGAATTCTATACATAATGTGATAAGGATGTGTTAAAAATATGTTTGTGACAGACAAGAAGACATTTATGGGCATATTATCATTGGCTTTGACGGACAGCTATACAAGTAAAAACAAAAACTCGCATGTTTTGAAATTTTTTAACCATATCATGAGCAGTATCTTTTACTCCTAGTACACATATAAATTTACCAGAACTTAAGAGCTCAAATTATATGACTCTATGTAGCACAATTTTAACAAAAAGGCACAATCATATAAAAATGTAATAAATAAAGAGGACAAAATATTTCTTTTGGGCTTATATATGAAAGGAGTAACTTATAAATAAAACCATACATGGAAATACTATCATGAAGAAAAGATACATAAAATACAATGCTAAAAAATGAAGTTCTTTAGTCTATACACTCAGCACTCTAAAGAAAATTGAAGTAAGTGCATTTAAAATAAATTAGCAGAAACCTATTCACCATTTTCCTCATCAGATATCTGATATGAACCTTATAACACACCAGTACAACATACTGATAAAAGAATGAATGGTACAGAAGAGGAATTTATTCAGTGGCATCGTAAATGTCTTTTTTTTTTTTTTTTCTTTTTCTGGGAAAAGTGTACATTATGTTCTTAAGTCTCTTATTTTAATAGTGCTGTTAGACTTTGTAAAAATCTACCCCACCGCAAGAAAATCCACCTTTACCACTTCAGTAACTTCCTTTACTTTTCATGGTGCCCTGCTTTCACATCAACCATAAAATATCACATCCATCATTAGCCTTTTTTCTAACTACTGTACAAAATATGATATTTGAAAGACAGTTCTAATAATTTCAGATAATGCATTTTACTGACAATTAATTCCTAGTTTTATGGAAACAATTTAATTGCTTGTTGTTTGGGGGGGGGGGAATTTGCAATTCAGCATTTCTTATTTGTACTACATGCATTTTCATGAGAAGCGGGGTTAAGCCACTTGTGCTTCATATAAGACCGATTAAAGCAGTACAAGCGAGAATACCAAAAAAAAAAAAACTGGGTTTATAACAAAAATATAATAAAGTTTAACTTTTGATTAAATTTTTATCTTACTGAGAATTTTCCGATTCCGATTTTGAATGTCGTATCTTTTTAAAATGGAAAAATATATCAACTGCACGGAATTAAATCATTTCTTATCTCACCGATCTTTTAATACCTTTCAACATTCCGTTCACCATTCGGTATCTTTCGGAGCTTTTTCTTTTTTAAGATTTTTACCGCTCTGCGGCACAATGTAGTTGAGTCCAAAAGTTCCTTCACCTTGCCGTACGATCCTTCTCCCAACAAATCCCCCATTATATACTTCCCAATCATTTTTGCACTTTTTTTCGGAGTAGTACATCTTATTTCTCTGGAATCGAAACGATAAAATGCTACAGGAAAACATGCTTCATCATTCAGCCACCGATCAATTGGTTCGTTTCTATTAGGTTCATCACATTCATGATCAGATGGCACAGTGAAATCGCAATGTACAATACTACTTAAGGTTCCAGCCATGAAAATTGAGAAAATAAAGAAACCAATAAAATAAACAACGAAGTAAGTTCATAAAACTGCATAACAATTTCAGCTTTAATCATTAATAAACAGCATACTACTGACAAGTACTTAGTAGCCAAAATCTAAAATTTGCTCAAAACCCATCCAACACATTGTTTACTAGCGGTTATCTAAGTTCGAGTTGTTAGGTTGAGAAGTTTCTTTGATTGTGAGGCAGGCTCAAAAACTTGACGCGAGTTAATAATTCTGCTTTGCCAATGATGTAATGCATATGATATATTAATATGGTACCTTAATGATGTATAACTTTTATATTCGGGGTAAAACTAACTTAAAAACAGTAGGAAAGTTAGCATGACCGTTTGATTTCTACACTGTTTATGTATTTCGTCGCAGTACTTAGACATTGATCTATCACCAAATGGATACTTACAACTATTTATTTACTTTAGGTCCCGTTTATATGCAAATCTAAACATGCGCGAGTGAATTCAAGGTCATTTGACACTCATATTTTTCCTGCTCTAGTTTCTTAGTTTAGAACAGGCATTTCACAGTCAATTTTTCTTTTGGCTTGCCTCGAAAGCATCAGCTGCGGAAGATCATCAAGCTCTCTAATCATTTTGTAAGATTTCATTTAGCTCACTATGATGTTTGTCGCTGTGTTCAAAAGTTTGCTCTCTATTTTTAAACTACTTCATGATAAGCTGTTGAGTTTAGATTCTGTACGCAATTTTTGGATTCAAAATTTGTGGATAATAATCAGAGGTGGGCCAAACCATTCTTTTATGAGTCTGAACTGATTCGGTTCTCTTTCATCAATTGTCGCTCACAAACAATAACCTTGATAAATAAGACTGGGAACGGAGAATGAATAAAGAATGGTGTGTGAGGATAGAGAAAAGCGTACAGAATCGAATGAACAGTGGGATCGAAATAATCGACTCAAATGAACAGGTAACTCTCTGAACTAATGTCTTGAACTGTCCTTTTTAGATTGCTAAAATCTCCTTTCTTCATGGAAATAACAATAAAGTTCTAGTATAAACAAATTTTCAAAAAAGTGGATAAACATTCTTTCCTCCCTGTTTTCCAAAATGGGAATCGAATTTTCCTGACATGCTTCCAGGAACAGATTAATAAGAACTAACATTGTCTTTTGACGAAGGACCTTTCACTCACGCATTAAAGTGAGTTGGTTCTTTGAATCAGTTAATGAGCGAATAGCACAACTCTAATGAGAATACAAATTGTGAAACAATTTTTTAATTCGATTTAAATTTTTAAAAATTTAATACTGAAACAAATTTTTGCTCATAAAACCGTTCTCTCCCCACTAGAAATGCTTTCATAAAGGCAGTTTTAAATACTTCGAACTTGCAATTCTCAATGTCTATGTCATCCAACAAAACTTACCGATGCCTTTTGTACCACCTCAATGCCTGCCACGGAAGCTCGGAGGTTGTTATGGTGAACTTCTGTAGTTCTGCAACTGGGTATAACAGGAACTACGTCTCTAAATGTTCAAAAAATATCACTACCGATCTTCTACTATAAAAAAATGGCTGATTTCATCGACGTTCGCTGTGTCTAAAATGAAGCCTAAGCCCTCCATTAAATGTACAGGTGCCAGTAGAGCGTGGAGCCAGGTGTCCCTGGGAGGGAGGATAGACGTTACTTGTCCTTCCGACATGATCCGTAATTTATTCGAGCGCCACTTATAGGGTTACACTTGATCTGGTAATGCTATTTTAGTGTAGTAAACATAACAGAAAGGAAGGGAATAATCTCTATGTCTGAGAACAATAACAAAGTTTAGAGAAATTAAAATAACCCTTTTATTTAAGCAGAATTTGAAACACAATTGTACAAGTAATAGTTATTTTTTTGTTTGAAAGTTGAATCATTATTTAAAAATTAAATCACAATAATGTTACCTTTTTGTTTTGGTTAAAAAAATTACTTATAACATATTTTCTTATTTAAGAAGAATTTGCAGTGAACCCTTTTGTGGTGTTCCCTTCCTCCCGCAGACGATGATCTCTGAAAACAATAAATTCTTCTGAGAAATAAATAAATATTAATACTGATAGTTATAATAGCATTCTTTAAGATAAAAACTTTCTAATCCAACTGAGACCATCAAATATGCAGTGCAGCGACTATCAAGTTTCCTAATTTCGATGTAAGATTAAACAACTTAAATAAACGATTGCATAAATCTGCTTCTTATGCCGAAAGAGTTATAATATTTCCAGTTCTTATTATATTAGCAAAATTATCTTTAAGGGAAAAAGTTAGTCCCCATTCATGTAAATATTTCCAGATTTCTAGTTTTTTACAGGAAAAAACACGACGGCTATCTATTCAGCGTCATGTAGCGTCCTAGAAGCTTCTTTCGGATTTTTTACGTTTCCACAGATATTTTGAACGATATACCATATTTCTATTCTGTTTATATTAACATCTTCATTTCCTGTTCTGAGAAGCTAATACTGATAAAATAATGTTTAGGCTATGAATGAATGATAAATGGCTCCAAAAGCTCTCAAGTTTTATTTTTGATCCAATTGCAATCATTCACGTTGATTCTGAAAGTAACAGTTCAGTATGTCTACCTGTGCATATCTTTTTCTTTCTTTCTTTTTTAAAAAAAGCTTTGTAAATCTTAAATAATCATTCTTAGATTAAAATGTTTGAAAACAAACAAATAAGATAAAAGAAAAGAAACGATAGTTTTAAATTTAAAACACAACTAAAAGCCACTGAAAATGTTGGTAGCAGTCTGTGTCTTAAGTGGTTGGCAGAATGGATCAATATTTTAGCAAGAAATGACTGTTTGAAGTTACTAAGCAAAACTAACGCGTAAATTTTGTTAAACTTTGCTTTTATTTTACACAAGAGACTGATTTTCCATCCTTTAAAATATGATATACTTAGATAATTTAGAAAAGTAGATATAAAGTAATTATTTATTTATTTATTTATTTATTTATTTGCTACTTTTCTTTGGAATTAATTCGTAATTTTATTAATGTAACAGTATTAATGAAGAGACATCCCACGCTTCTGCTTCAGAATATTTTAGAAGGCTTCGAAAACCTTGAATAGGATAAATTCATTAAGCAAATCGGTAATCACCATTTCGTTTGCTTCTCTAAGATGAATACTTCTACAGAATACCAAAATTGTTCGGAACTGTAGATGATTATCATCTTAGAAAATATTCACTGTATGTAGCTCATGCAGGAAATAATTGAAGTCGAGCAAAATATTCCAGTTTTTTTTAAAAAACTGTATTTATATTTTAATTTATAATTATGTAACAATTTTTAATTGAATTTTATATCCAGTAATTGTTTCATTGCTACGTATATGGTTGCTAATTGTAATTAAAAGGTAAAAGAATAAAGTATTTAATTCAATATTTGCTTTGAAATTTCTGTTTTAAATCCACGCCCTAGTCAAAATTAACTTGTAATTAAAGACATAAATTCATCAGAAGAGAAATAGCATGATAAAATCTGATTTTTGAAATGTAGGTAAAATATGTAATAGGATTTTGAGAGGAATCCAAAATGATTTTTCATGGGAAAATGTTTATAAGGTTAGTGCGCTGAATAATTAATTATGGCAAAATTTTCTGAAAATGACAATCAAACCTCTCAGTCCTGACTACTAAAATAAAATGAATTATTACAAATATATTTACAAAAGATAAGACTGGTTGCTCTCTTTTCGTATTCTGCAGTAGCAATTTTTTGGAAATTGCATTCAAGTGTATTATTATTTTGCTCGTTGAAAAGTGTTAGAGGCACTGAAATTATGGATCCGTCTACGTAAGCAGAATTATTGGAATAATGTTCAAGAAAATTAAAAACACTCATAATGATATTCTTAGCAGAACGTAAAAACTAAACACTCATTCTGCAATAAGGCATATGAAATATTGTCAATTCATGGGGCATGACTATTTGGCTGTTGAAAATTCCTTGTTTAGCAGACGCTCCATGCCAAATACTGACCATTCTTCTTGTTGGAATATATTAATGCTCACGTACTTTTCTTGGAATGATTAGGAGTTGATTTAGGTTTACTGCAATTCTCAAGTTCTCCAAATATACTGAAAACGGGATCCCTTCCCTTTGCTCACTAAATAATTGACATACGCACTGTTACATTGCAGGGCTGCTATTGATAACCGTACTAACGTTAAGTCTTGCAGACCACGTTAAAGACAAGATAGCGAGCTATCGCTAAGAATGAAATAGTTACAAAGTATTGAAGAATGTTTCAATACTATTTTTATTTATTCGGAACTGAACATAAAGGCACGAACTCTGCTACAGATAAGCCATCACTTGTGGCTATGCAGTTTAAGCAGTAACAGGCAATTAAATTAAAACTCGGATTACGTAGTCTAAGAGTACACATTCAGTAGAATAAGAAATAAACTGGCTCAGCTATTTTATCGGGGCATAAGTTTAAAGCGTCGGCTAGCGAGAATGCCAAAGCCGGAATATCACTTATAATAGAGCTGGCAACAAAATCTTAACAATAGACGCGAGTGCTATAAGCTCTTTAATTCTATTCAAAAGCCTCAACTCAAATACACTCAAAGCTAATTTGCATTCTGGTGAAGAATACGGGAAGAAGAAGTTACAGTAAAGATCAAAAACGTAATAAATGGTTAATTAACGTAAGAACAGTACAGCATTTTTAAATGAAAATTTAGAAGAAGAATATTGTGCGCTTTAAGCTTTCTTTTCTATTTAATTGTTTTTTCTCGCCAATATCCATACTTCATTTATAACTAAATAACTAAATTACAGCTCACTAAAACGGATGTGCTAGAGTTCATAAAACTGCTACATCCTTTGGCCGGACGTATATGCTTTCTATTATTTCCAGTGTTCTCGAGAACCTGACACCCATTTCTCTAAATGTTTCAGTTGCATTGGTAATTTGTTCCTGTGTGGTAGAGTCTGTAGGATCAGCCGAAAGCAACTTTTAAATGTTAATGCTTTTAAAATAATAAAATAATATAGAATGATTAAGAGGATGACTTTACTGTATAATAACATTTTATACGCAAACTGAACATTCACCGGGCATTGATAAGTGAACTAAAACATTTGCTGATAAAAAATCAACACCTATGACGATTT